TCATATTTTATTAAATGTTTATCAAATAAACTGATAATTCAATTTTATTTAATAAACACTAAAGTGTTTTTAAATAAAAATTTTTTTATTAAAAACAAATGGCATTAAAGTACTGTGAAGAATGTAATAACATTTTGTATTTAAAAAAAGAAGAGAACCAATTATTACATTATTGTATAACATGCGATATAACAATGAAAGTAGATGCTACCCTTCTATATAAAAAGACATTCAGAGATAAAGTAGATGATAAAAGAAAAAATACGTACATAGGATCAGATGCAACACTACCACTTGTAAAAACAACTTGTGAGAAATGTAATGGTAGTAATGTTGTTTCTTTTTTAAAAAATAATTATGAAAGAGCTTTAAATAACTTCTATTTGTGTACTTTTTGTTTTAACGAGTGGAGAGATTAAATAAGTTTATTTAAAATCTAATAAATTAAGATTAGCACAAATTGTAGCGTTCTTTACGAATTTACAATCAATTTCAATGTCATCAAAACGATTATTTAACTCTCTAATTAAAATGTCTCTCATTTTCTCATCCTCATAAACTGATCCATTTAAAATTATTGTTAATTTTTTGGGATTTGAAAAAGTTTTTAAAATCCCTTTTAATAAACCAACTGTTAGTAACTGAACTCGCCTTCTTACTTTAGAAATAATAACTGATTCTAATCCTTCTTCTTCAATTGCGTCATTTACTGCTTTAACTATATCATCTTTACGGGCATGACAAAAATCACCAAGTATTGTGTTAATCAAATCTAAGTGATTAACACCACCAAGTAATACATGTGTTTCTCTATAAACTCTATTTTTAAGAATTTTTTCTTTAATTTTGAGATCCCAAGAATTTAATATCCCTTTAGGGAAATTAAATTCTCCCCACTCAGCACATCTTACTATTCCATCTTCATCATAATAAGCACAATTCGTACCAGTTCCACATACAAGACCAATAATGGCATGTTCTTTAGAAAACTTACTAGTATTTGAAAGTAATACAGCAACTGTATCATTTATTATTGATCTCACCCTTACTTTTTGTTTATTTCTACTGTTAAAAACTTTTTCAATTTCTGTACCAATATCCTTATTATAAAAATCTAAAGCAAAAGGCCATTTTTTAGCTTCTCTCGTTTGTATTAACTTTCCATCTTTATACATTATTGGATATGAGTAAGTAATGAATACGTTAATATCATTGGAAAATTGACCCAAAACAGCAACTGCTTCAATTTGTTCAGCTATGTATTCAAAGACACTGATTTTATGTTTAACTTTAATAACTACATTCGATTGTATAATTACTTTCTTATTAGAGTTAACAATACTCCATCTAAAATAAGTTCCCCCTAAATCAATAATTAAAATGTTTTGTTTAAGTAATTCAATATGAGAAATTTTAACTTCATAAAAACCACTGTTATTTTCAATACATTCAATGATGTGACTATGATAAGAGTTTTCAATGGTTTTTATTTGTTCATTTGTAATCTCCAAATTTTCAAGTTCTTTTTTAATTTCCATATAAATTAGGGGTTAATTAATAAAAATTTTATATGTTAAATTGAAGCTGACAAATATTTTGATTAAGATCAAAAAATTAATTTAAATTAAAAATAGAATTTTAAGTTTAATAATTTCTAACAAGTAAAATTTAATTATTTATTTCTAACAAATAAATTTAATTTACATTTATAATTATAAAATTTATATAATCATTGATTTTTTTTATTTTATTAAAATAACTAACTTTTATTAAGAAAATGTTTTAGAAAAATTTAATAAATTATTATTGAAAAACGTTTTATTATATAAATTAATAATGTGTTTATAATAATTAAATTATAAATAATTTTATAATATAAAAGTTTTGAAAACTTAAATATTATTGTAGTAACTCTGTTTCTACAAAAGATTCATTTAAAAAAA